TGGGAATGATGAGTGGTGGGCAGTCCCTCACATTATTTGGCATTACCCTTAAGTACTTGATCAGTCAGGGCAATTCAGTATTTGAAGTCGAAGAGCTAGACACACCTGCAATTACTTAAATCCGCAAAATTGCACCCATAGGTATTTGCAGGCACAAAAATGTTGGCATAAAATTAGAGGCCATTTCCTAAAACCTGTGCCTAAATTTTGATGATATAGTATATGAGGGGTTGTTATTTTGAAATGGATTTGCGGAAAGCAATTGAAAATCTCCAGGCATCCCATCTGTGTTTAAAGTAACAACAATAACAAAACTTTAAATTAGCATAGGAGATTTAAGACATTTCAGGAAAACATTGATTAAATCTGCCAATGAAATGAATGTGTTTGGCGAGTGACCTAATTAGTGTATACTTGGTTCTTTTTCACTGCACTGCTTACCACTAATTGCTGTTCTGCTGGTCTTCTCCTGACAAGTAAGAAAAAACAAGGATGAGGGATTTGTTGAGGAAATAGTGACATTCAGTTTTAATTCATTTGAACCTGCTGCCAAGCTTAATTATGGAACTGTGAAACGGAGACCAGGAGGCCCCCAGCCGCTTAGGTTATAGGAGACGGAGATGTTTAGTGTCTGCCTGTGTATTCGGGTAGCACTTAGTGCAGCAAGCTATAAACTTGCGCTTGCTGATGCTTAGCTGTTTTCTTTCCCCCACAGGTACAAAATCACTGCCTTTATTCCTGAAATTTAATTATTTAGCTCTAATGGCGTCAGGCCAAAACAAAATTACAGGCATTTTATTTCTTGGAGGAAAGGTTGAACAATTAATCTAGATAGTCCTGTCTTGTTTTCTGGCATGGGTATTTTTTTTCTTTCTCGTATTCACGTTTACAAACTAGTGATACATGTCATTCCGCAAAAAAACCTTGGGATCCCAGATCCCTGTAGCTGAAGTCACCCTAGCTGTAAGTACCCCTGAGCTGAGGGGCTTGTTTTGGTGATAAAATTCAATTCCTGACTCTCTCAGCAGCAGGGGATAATGTAGCTCTCCCTATTTGCATTTTGTGCTCTTAAAGGAAAAGGGCAGGATGCCTCATGAAAAGAGGGGAAATAGTTTTGGTTTTGGTTTCCTGTGGTGGAGATGGATGGATTCTTGTGAGCAGTCTGGAGGTCCCGGTTTAGAAGCTGCATGGGTTTTACATGATGTTCTGCACAAAATCTGAAAAAGAAAATAATAGTCCGTAGACCAGAATGTTTATGAGACAGTGATCAAAATAATAAGGAATAAAAACAAGCTCTGGAATTTGAGGATAGGAAAGGGTGGGGCTGGTGGGGCTTGCACTTGTTTTGAATAGAGGAAGAAGAAATGGAGACGTTTTTGTGGAGCAGCAGCATCCAGTTGGCAGCTCCTGGTCTGAATCCGTCCCGAAGGATGCTTCCAGCCAGCCTGCTGCCTTCTCCCTGGAGGAGCGGAGAAATAACTGTTTGAGCAGGGAACTGAGCCTGAGCAGCCAAACCCGGGGCTTGCACCTGCCAGGGGCAGCCACAACAGCCTGGCTCTGGTGGTGGGGGCCAGGGGGAGCACAGCCACAGCCTGGCCAGGAGGGAAGGGCTCCCGGCTCCGACAGCTTTGAAAAGCTCATTTGTGCTATGGGAGGAGCTTGAGGGGGTGTCTCAGCACCCAGCCTGAGCTGCTGCAGTGACCTACACTGAAAGGTGTATCTAAATACATATATAAATATCCTGTGCTACTTTGTTAGTGCTTGAGAAGAAAAAAAAAATTTTTTTTTTTTTAAAGTGAGATTATAAACAAATGAAATATGTGAGCATAGGTCATCAGCATAGGCTATAAACATCTACAGGGAAGAACGTAAACTGTCCAAAAGCCCAGCGTGCCTGTTTTTCTGGTCTATAGCATTGCAGAGTTCTTGTAAGGATACTTGAACGCTCAAACAGCCTGGGAACTTGGCTTCCCTCACAGCAGATTGATGTGCTTTGGACCGGTTTGCAGCCATGGAGTGATTTTGTCCTGATGTTCTGTGTGTGGTGGAGAGATGTGTCGGGAGCAGGGAGGGCCAGAAAGATACTTGGAATGAGAACTAGCTTGTGGGAAGGAAAATGAGCAGCTTTGCAGTGATGCAAGTAGTATTAACGCTAGAATGCATAATGGACCGCTGAAGGTGCGATTTTTTTCATTGTTTTTGTCTTGAGACTCTTGTTGCATCTATGATATGCTTATAGCCATTTGCACCCACTGAATACACGTTTAAGAAACATCCATAGCTTTAAATATTATGGACCGATGTTCATCTTCAGTAATCTGCTACGTTAGATATACCTGATCCCTACAGTATAACACCAGAATATTCCTGCGCATTCCAGTTTATATTTACAAGCAGTGCTAACTTACGTGGGGATACTTACTGTGCTGTCTAGGAAGTTATATTAAAAATCACTTCCCTTCTATTACTGCATACATGAATACTGCACTGTGCGCTGATGATAAATATCAAATTCCAACTCTATTATCTGTTTTTTAAGGTCAGTGTTAAAACTTATTTTTGTGCTGTCACCTCCTAGTTCTCTGGCATGAGCATGGTAAGAAATAAAAAGAAATTTCATGTCCTGAAAAGAGCACTTTGCTGCCCTGAGAAATAATTTGCACTGTGTTTGATCCAAGCCACCCCATGACTTCCCAGCGCATTGCAGGTTTCCCATTTGGCAGCTCTGGCTTCTTGTCAGGATTTCTCCTTTAGCAAAATTGAAGTTGCATCTGATCTGCTGCTCTCCCAAAGGGCAAAGGCACTGCAGGAATCCAGGCAGGGCTCTTGTTCTCATGGAGCAGGTTTTTTTGGTTCAAAACAGCATCAGCTTCGCTGCTGCTCTGCAGCTTGGAGAACAGAGCAAAGCAACCTGCCATGGAGAACCAGCTGGTTTCAAGATGGTACGCTCAGCAGAAAAGCATTAAAGGGAGAAACTGAATAGGTAAAACAACCTTCCCCCCAGTGGCCAAACTCCAGTGCACTGTTTTCATGGCAGTGTTTATATAGATGCTGTCCTAATGTACAGTTGTTCAGGCTTTCCTTCAATTTGTAATAATATCCTACCAAAAAAACAACTAAGGACAGAGCAGAAAGGTTCAGATCTTGATTTTTTTATCAAAATAGCGCTTTTTGTAATCATTAAGTCAGCATTTTCTTTAGCAATCTTGGTGTTTTTATATATATATAGTTTTCATTTTCTTAAAACTTTACAAATAAGTTTTAAGCCAAGAAAAAAATCTGTGTGCACAATATTCTTTCAGCATAGAGCAATATATACATACTGAAATAATAGAGTTGTTTATATCTTGGGGCAAGGTGATCAGAGGCACGGATTCCCATACATACACGCGGTTCACAGAGCAAGAAGGCCTCACACGAGGAAGAAGAAAGGCTGGCAAGAGAAATAAAAGTGGATACGGCAGGAAAGCATATCTGTGGTTGCCTCCTGTATTATGTGTATTGACCTAGTAAATGGAGATGTCTGCAAAGGAGCTGCAATGCTATAAATATGCTTGTGCCAATATTATTAAAGCTTTCAGGCAGTTCAGCTCTATCCGTATGGCTTCCAGGGGAGACGCCAGAGAGAGGTGGCCCCTGGCCACGGCTTGTCCGAGCAGCACGTGCCTACCTGTGCTGTAATCGCTTAGGAAGATGTAGGCTGGGATTTTCAAAGGATTCCCTGGGTGGATTGTGAAATCTATGCAGCTACCTGAATAGCTGCTTGGTGAGATTTTTAAATCGTCCTAACTCTGTTGAAATCTTTATGAGTAAGACTTAAGTGCTGTTGAAGATCAGAGATAGCTAAGTGCTCAGAAGTTGTGTCAAGTCCATTTTTGTGTCCTCCCTGCCCTCCTTTGTATCTCTAGATAAATAAAAATACTTCCACAGCTGTTGATACCCAGCAGGGGCTTAACAGCACTAGTCCTGTTTCAGCATCGAGTCTTGCTTGCTGAGGGGAAAAAATGAAGAGGGAGGCAGTGAGGGAAGAAGATGGGAAGGGACTATCTGATTAATCAACTATTGCAAGTGTTGGCACTTGGAAAGCCACTTATAAAAGGAGAGGATTGTTCCTTGCCCATCTGTAAGGTGCACCACCACTGAGCTGATGTTCAGATGATGCCCTGCAGCAGCTCCTGGTAGGGACCTGGCCCTCGTTCCAGCAGCCAGGGTGGCAGGACAAAAGGGATGGGGTTTAAGCAGGCTGTAGCTTGGTTATCCTAGCATCTTATGGAGCTACCTGGTGGTTGCTTGTATAGCACAGGTTGTAATTTCTTCCGTAACTGTTTCCATGTGCTGGAAGTCTGCTGCAGGCTCCCTGGCCCCAGCCTGCGGCAGAGACCCGCGACCTTGTATGAACCTTGCATGACCCACGAGCTTGTATGAAGCTTCATTCTCACGTGTATTCAAGGAACAGGAAAAGGGAGTTGTTTCCTCACAATCCTAACCGTTAAGCCATAAGCTGTAGCTTTGTATGTCAGCTGTCCGCTAGGATAGGTCTTCTGGAGAGACTGCTTCTACATGGGCATGTACTGCAGAATGGATACTGACAATATCACACATGGAGACATCCTTCTGTGTGGGGAGGGCAGTGGCTGCTCACCCAGGCAGGCAGCAGGGTCTGTGCTTCCTCCTGTGGAAGAGATGGGGCAGGGGTCCACAGCACCAGGGCTCTGCTAGGGGGGGACCTCTTGTCTGCAGGGACAGGCAAAGGGCTGCCATTTGTCCCCTCTGCTCCACACTTTCCTGCAGGCTGAAGCCTCAGGTGCTTGCATTTCTTTAGACCACATCATGTTCAGGAGGAAAGGCAAGAGAAACAGAGGTGTGACAGCTGGTGGCAGTAGTGCTGCCAGAAGGCAATGAGAATGGAAAAGGCGTCCTTTAAGAAAAGAAATCTTGACCTATGATGATAACAAATTATAATGAAAATATCTATTTATTGTTTGTTTTTGTTTTTTTAGGTTACGGTTTTGTAGATTTTGACAGTCCGGCAGCAGCACAGAAAGCAGTAGCATCTCTCAAAGCAAATGGCGTGCAGGCGCAGATGGCAAAGGTAAGAGCACCTATGCTATTACAGGTTTATCTGATCTGTGTGATGAAATTTCCAACAGTTCATTTTGCTCCGGGTTTTCTTCGGTTTTTGGATTGCTTATTTCATTATTTAGTACTTGGTTCCAGTGCCTCATTCATCCTATGGTGTCTGTACTCTCATGTGAGGGGTTCTGCTCTGATTCCCTCTCTCCCCCTCCCTTGGGAGAGGGTTATAAGATCCAGAGTGCTGGAGAGGTGGAGAGGTTGGGAATGCCTTTGTGCTGACGGCACTGTGAAAGATTTGTGCTTTCTTTGCCTTGGAGTTGTGTCTGTTTGGTTCCTTTCCCTTGCAGTAGTCATTCTCAAAGGATTTTGATGGGTCTCTTGGAAGGCTGATTAAGCATATGGAAAATTTGTTTTTATCTGCCTTAGTTTGGCCTCTTCTGTCCCTTTATTTTAAGTGTATAAGTGGAATTGCTTGAAAGAATATCTGCTGCAGGTTGTCTGAAGGTCACTAGTGTGTTGCTCAGAGAGGTTGCAGGAGCTGGGCTTTGCATCTCGTAGCAATCATTCAGCGAGGTGAAATACTCCATTTCTGGGAACACCCCTTGTCACCAAGTAAAGGGGCTGCAGGGGTTATGGTAAACGATTATCGTGTGCTCCAGCTGTTGCCTTTCTGAAGGCATAACTGTGTGTCTTTGGGCTTTAGACAGTGTTGGCTGGCAAAAATAGCTGTTGCTTTGTACTTTGAAAATGCCTTGCCTTAAAATCACTAAAAGCCCTTAATATTGCCTGAGTTTGTCTCTGCGGAAATGATTGCAGCCTAGAATCTCAGACAGCAAAAACAAACAGGTAATTACGAAAACAGAGGCAAATCAAGTTAAGAAATGATCCCAACACTTGAACATTTCCATCTAAAGGAATACTGATGATTTAAACCTTTGATTTTTCAGCAATATCATACTATTTTTTTTTCTTAAAACATACAAATAGAAAACCCTTCGTGGTAAAGGAGGGTCTCTTGCCTTCTACTGAATTACACTCGCAATGCCTTAAAGTAACTCAATATGATCCATGTATCTCTGTTTAATAGTGCCCCACAATGCAAGCTATGCTGTTTTATTGGCTCTTAGTTTTTATTGACATGTAGCGATAAAAAATATCTGCTTCAAATGGATAAAAGATGGCAAGCTGAAGAAAGTGAACACCTACTAAGGACTGTGCTATTTTTTCCCCTCATATATACTGTGCCTCCTTGCTAAAATACAGGCAATTTGATGTGTTAGTCAAGCTGCAAAAGGGAAACCAAAGACAGGAGATACGTTTTGTGCTGCTGGTTGATCTCAAATCGCTGTTTCTGGGGAGGACTAAACCTCTAACTACATAAATCTATGAAGTTGTGGATTTAAAATTAGAGATTTAAAGGTTAAGATTTAAAGATAAATCTATATCTAGTATTTTTAGCACATAGCTATCGTGATTCGGAACAGTGAACAATTTCAGCGCTTGCATGTGTGGAAATATCAAAACCAGAAGGTGACTTAAATCTTGTGTTTTGGAATGCCCACTGCTTCTGGGGCTGCTATGTCTGATGCTTTTGGAGTGGGAAGGGCTGTGCTAACCACTAAGGTTTGTTTTCTGGGAGCTCTGCGGCTGGAGCCATTTGTGATTTTTGAGGAGGCTGGCGTGCATGCTTTTGTTTGCATAAGGATGACTGTATTTTTAATATTTAGCCGTGGTGCCTGGGATCCCAGATAGGTCCTTTTTAGCGTGTTTGGTAATTCAAGATAAATATACAACTGACTTTTCCTATCTCTGAAAAAATCGAAAAGTATTTAGAAAAGCCTGGATTCGAAGGAAGTTGAGACGACTCCACACAAAGTACCTCGCATTGCTGAGAAGTCAGGAGCCTGGGAAAGCAAATCTATCTGTAGAAACAAGTTAGCTCTTGCAGATGCTGGAAGCCAAGTTGCATAACAGGATTGAAAGACAGTGCTACCTGCCAGTGTCTGAACTAACAGTGGGGGCTCAGAAGAGCTTTGATGAAAGAAGTAGAAGAAGAGTTTATCCTCTATTCTGGAAATGTATCAAGAGCAGTTTTGTTTCAAGAACCATTTTAATTAGTGGTAAATGGTAGTAATCTCATGAAATCTAAGAAAAAAGTTTGTATGAAGAAATTACCTAAAGCTTTCGCGTGCCGTACAGTCACGAACCACAGTTGGCATCCTGTATTTTCTGTTCTGCATTCCTAAACAGTGAAACTGCCCCTGTGTGGGGCACGGTAATCTGCATTCAACAGATGTCAAAAATCTCAGCCCAGTCACGAATGCTTTTGAATGAAGGTGAAAGAGGCATTGGCCAGCTTTTGCCATGGGCTGGCCTTCTCCAGCAGTGAGAGAAAGTATGCTGAAATGGTGGTGTATTCTGTGATGTTTTCCTGGAGAGAGATCTTGCTCAGAAAGAGCAGCTCTTTCTCAGTTTTAACACAATATAATTTTTCCTCATAGAAATCCAGGAATCTTCTTTGAAAAACAAAGCAGAGCTGAACCCCCACCCATGTTGGCTAGCTGAAGTATCTTGTGGATACTTGAGTAAAGTATACTCATTTTATTGATGCTTAAATACAGCCACCTCCCTCATTTTTATAGCATTTGGACACCCTTTTGGCTGATTTTGTTTCATAGTGCTGCCTCTGGAAGAAGGTTAAACTTCGGTGGATCAATGCTCCAAGTCCCATCACTGTTAGAAAACTTGTTCTGTCGAGGCTAATACTTGCTCTAACCCAATGCAGGGAAAAACATCATTAAACGTGTTCAGATCTCTCATTTTGTTCTCTTGGATAGCATTCAGCCTAGTGCAGAGCAGTCAGGAGAGGATTCAGCAGAGGGAGAGGAACAGCAGTCTTACGTGTGTGGAGGTAGCGATGGTGGCTGGGAGCTGAGGTCTTGTGGGCCTGGGGACAGCTGCCCTCCTGCTGGGACAGAGACGTTCCAGCCTACACGAGATCCAGATTTCCTTACATATTTGTGTTCTCTCCTTGCTTCTTCAGGATTTTCCTCACATATGTACTCAAAGTCAAAAGTTTAGACAGCTGCCACTGTCTTACCTCTAGTGATGTTCATTTAAGTTGCCCATCGTTAGCAAAAGTGCTTATTAACAGTTCAATATATTGAGAAAAATTAATGCTATGGAGCTGCTGACTGATAGTTTCTTACCTGGCCTGGCTTATTTCATATATGCTTCCTGGTTGCCTTTGGAAACAACTCAGACATGCAGATTCACTTGTGTGTGTGTGTGATTGTCCAGGCTCCTAGAGTCCTTTTTTTTTTTTTTTTTAGTGGTGGTGTTTTTTTGTTTTCCTGCTAAAAATGGCACAACTGATGTCCCACCAGATATTCTGATAATCTCACAGGAATAGTTGATTTATGTCTTTTTTTGTGTGTGTGCTAGTATCTGCACAAGCACTACACAGACAAGATGATGTTTGTATGCACGACTTCTGTATCACTTCTTGTTTTTTCCATGTGCTCCTTCCATGCATTTTATTGAAAAATGTTACAGAAAGAACATGGAATCTTAATAAGGAGAATTTCAGTAGCATGTGAGTTGGCCCACGTAAGTAGGTAAGAAAGCTAGCATACCACATGAAAAACATAAGTGTTCCAATAAAATCTGTAGCCACGTCTATTTTGGCATTTGCAATAGTCATTTGCACATATTTATAGTGAGACTTCTTTGTCTACTTTGTTGGTAAGCTTTTGGTGATGCCGAGGAGTCTGAATTCAGCTGAAGACTTGAGAGAAGTTAGTTGTCTAAACTGTGAGATTCTGAACTTGAGTCAATCCTGAAACTGGTGGACTGTGCTATTGTAGGATTGTTTTGTATCTTCACAGACACCTTACCATATTTTATTTCTAGTTCACTATACGGTTATGCAAAGTGGAACTTCTGGCAATGATGGGTCCTTGCAAAGAGTTTATAGTAGCTTCTGTAGTACCTAGCAGCTGAAAGAAACACATTTATCGAGAAAGTGTTTTTAATCCTGTTGCTATTCCAAGTATGTGTATAAGGATTAAAAAATATATATGATGTGTATCTTGTCTGGGTTTTGCTTTTTGTATGTAATACTGCCAATAGACGTCCTTATCACCTGTGTCAGAAAGGTGGACACTAAAGAAATATTTAATTGCCAGTGGTGGTTGTCTAAATCCAAGGAACATTTCTCTACTACTCTGCTACAATAATTTCCATCCAGAGGGTACGCGGAACGATCTGGTTCTGACAAAGGGCTATGTCAATAGACTCTGATGTGTTTTGCTCGATGAAGGAAATACAGAATAGGATTTTGCTTCTTGTGTGATATTTTTCTCATCTCTCCATCATTCAGAAGCTTAAACACAGGGAGTATTCACCATCCAGGTGAAACATAAAAAGGAGACATTTACACAGAACAGAGCCAAGTATGAGAGCTTGTGAAGAGCAGCGGAGAGCTGGTTGCTCTAGAGTTATACAGATATATACAGATTGTCTCCAAGGACCAAGGGAAAGGAAATCCCACAGAAGAATCTTACTTGTTTTCCAGGCTTTTGCATTGGTTTCAGGAATTGCTCTTGTATGAATTGGCTGACCAAATCAGTCTGTTTTCGCTTTTCATTTTTCAGCTTTTTCTCACCTTTTTCAGTCACTCCCCCTCTTTCTCTGACATAAATCAGTACTCTGAATGATGGTTACAATGAAAACTGCAGTAAAGGGGAAGACTCTCTAGTGAAAGCTTCTTATCCTAATACTTTTTTAATCTTGATTTTTAATGGAAAATTTTGGTTCTCTATATTTTACAATTTAAGTATACATGAAAATATTTCATAAAAATGCAATCCTTACAAAAATGAAATACAGTCTATACAGGGAACATCTGATACATTGAATCCCACAGTTTCGTAATTCAATTCACAATTGAAATGTCTTTAAATTTTAGCAAAGTAAACTTGAGGATATTGTCTGTTTTGCATATTTGGACAATGT